ATAGAGAACTACAAATCAGTACCTCTTTAACAATCACATGATTGGGATCCTTCTTTTTTACTTTCACTTTATTCCTCTTCACAATTATCTCATTTCCTTGCCATATAATTTCGGGAGGCCCATCTTCTACATATTCCCACTCGTCATCTCCATCTGATTCATTCTCAAGAGCAACCTGCTAGGATTGCATGCATCGCAGCACTTGAAGATGTAAGACAGACATAACAGGTCTACAGAGAGAGAGAGAGAGAGAGAGAGAGAGAGAGAGAGATAGAGAGAGTCAAAGGGGCATTTGCATATGCTGCTCTTCGAACACCCACAGTGAAAAATTTACAAAACAATAGAAGATCGGGAGTTTTTGTATAGAACCATGTCTATTTGTAGGTTCTTCCTTTTTCGGTATACCTCTTGTATATGAGAGTTTTCCAATTTCTTAACGAAACTACTCCTTACTTGATTAAAAAAATAAAAAATAAAGGTTAGCGAAACAAGATGTCAGAACTGTCTGCAACTAAGCAAGCAATAGTTTGTTCACCATGTTAAACAGGGTAACACCGATGATTTAGATCAAAGGACCAATACCTGAATTGCTATGCATGTCAAATAAAAGACACTCATTCACACACATATCTCACCAAACCTTGCTATAACGGCAATAGAACTACCTGTGCACATAATTGTGGCTGTATGCTAAGGTCAATAATCTGGAAAGCACAAACTAATTTATGCAATCAAAGAAGCATGTGATATGCTACATTTTCCACTCGGTTTTTGTAGATATATTCTTGTTCCAAATGTTGAAACCAAAATAGAATAGTTTGGTTTTACAATTTTTCTGCAACGACCAACTCCCATGCACATTCTCTCTGCACCGTGGTCATTGTTAAACAACTTCCTACTTTTGCGTCTCTAGAAAATATGAAAGCATCCACCAAAATGTTTCCTACTGCTTCAAATTTCAACCAAGTCCCAAAATGCAAGATTCTCTGCGTTTGACTTAGAATTAACTGTCGTACAACGATTGGGAGAGTCAATTGCTACGCATGTCCTTTTATAAACAAAAAAATGCTAGCAAACTTATGACTAATTTCATTACTACCTCAATTTTGTTATTCATCACATAATGTCCATTGTACAATCATCTAATAACCTTAGTTCCCAACGTGCTAGCAATATATTCGAATTTTATTTTTTATAACTGATAAATCCCTGAGGGCCAGTGGCACCTGAACCTGTACGTGCATATAACCCACACATCACGTGTGAGGCTTAGACCAAAGCCTTGGGGCCTATATTTGATCTAACCAGGTTAATGAGCAAACATGACCAATAAAGTTAATACACAATCCACATAACTCAAAGTTGACTGCTAAAACTAAATAACTGTTCGATGCATACATCTGCATATATTTCTCTAAGCTAACAGAAAGAATGTGAAAGTGCGTTTGGCACGAAGGATTTGTACCTGGCTTTGTTTCGCCTTTTCTTCCTCATCTTTCGCTCTCCTTCGCTCTCCTTCTTCTTCCTCTTGAGCTTTCTTTCGAGCCAGTTCTTCGAGGAAGATTCTTTCTCTCTCCTCAAACTCTCTCCTTTCTCTCTCTAATCTCTCCTTCTCTTTCTCCTCCTCCAGCTGAATCCTGCGAAGCTCCTTCGGATCATTCAGCTTAGCCTCCTCTTCCTGGCGCGCCTTCTCGGCGAGTTCCTTCCTTTTCTGCTTCCGCTTCTCCTTCTTCGTCAACTTCCGTTTCTCCTTGCGATTTTTGCATATCGTCGCCGCCGCACCGCACTGTTGAAGTTCCGATACTTGCTGGTCGTCTTCTTCGATTGATATCGGTTCCGTCATACGTCTAGGGTTTCAATAGAGTGTCAGTACAATGGTTTGTATGAAATGAAATTGGTTTCTTCTGAATTTTGATCAATACATACATTTCATAGTAGCAGCCTAGCAGGCACCTTTTTGCTTAAAGTTGTATTCGGTTTGCGAATTTGTAATGAAAAAGGAAAAGACGGGACATGAAAATTAACCGAGAGAGAGAGAAGCGCACCGGGGTGTAAATGACACAAAGTAGCCACTTTTAAGCTTTTTATTTAAAACTAATTTTAGTTTACGTGTTTTTTTTTT